CAGGCAGAGCGTGGACTCACCCACGGTCAGGGACCTGAGGCCCAGTCTGGGTGTACACACGCCTGGGGGTGGGGCAAGATAATGCACTGGAATACAAAAAGAAAAAAAATAGAAATCCTTTTCGTATTTTTCCTCTTCCTTTAAAAGTTCTATTTTGGCTGGGTGCACAGGCGCACACCCATAACACCAAAACACAGGGGCCCAGACACACGCAGAACACGAGACCACACACACAAAACAAAACCCGCCAAAACAGCGAAAAACCACATCTACACAAAAAACAAAAAACAGAGCGGGGGGGGGGCACATGTCTCTAGACCCAGAGACACGGGAGACGAAAAGGGGAGAATAACACCAGACCAGAAAAACAAAACGCCACAGAGAGATAAGAACACCACACCACACACACCCCGACAAAAAGAGAGAGACACCCTCTAAAAAAAAAAAAAAAAAAAAAAAAAACCCAAAAAAACAAAAAAACCCTCTATTTTGTATACAAAATAGTGTACATAAAATTGTGTACAGTGATATACATGTGTAGGGGAGAAAAAGTGTGATACTTTTCCTCACCAGTCATATGGGTCATGGCTGACACTCTTGTAACAAAAGGCGGACTAACAAAAGGAAAGCATAACCATTTTATTTCATCAAAGTTTACCGTGACATGTGAGTCTTCAGAAATGAATACCGAAAGGCTCAGGGAGAACCGTCCATTTTTATGCTTAGACTCAATGAGGAATTGACAGTGGTATAGAAATGTGATTGGACAGAAAGTTCTGATCGACTCTAATGGACCGAGGTGGTAGGATGGGGACCCAGCAGGGCCTGTCTGTGCAGATTCTTCCTGGCCTCTCTGTGCAGCATTCCTTCTTTCTAGGTATGGGGCACGACCCCTCTGGAATGAGGGTCTTAGGACCTACTCTCAGACAAAGTTGGTCAGAGAATTTCTTTACGGCCAGTTCCTGTGCAGAAGGGTGGGAGAAGGTTTGAGTCATATTTTTAGGTTTTATGGGTGGCTTTGGGGGAAGAATTTCTACGACTCACCTTGGGGAAGGGGAACTCTGGTTTCTATGACTCATCTCAGGGGAGAAAGAGGGGGACAAGGGGTACAGGAGGGCAGGAGAAGGTCAGAGAGAACTTGCTTCTGAGGTCATCCAAACTCCATCAGTTCAAAGTACTCAGCCTGCCAAAGTGCCATACTTTGGGGTATTGTTGTCCGAGCCCCAACACATGTCCACCCTGCACATCCCTTGTAAATAACTATGCATGCATAAATCAGGAGTCTGTGTGCTCAAACACCTGCAGCGGTGCTCTGTGGCAAGGGAAAACTGATGTTCAATGGGAAGGGAATTTTCCCAGCTCTGAGGTTCTGCGGGGTCTCTATTCCAAGTGAAGTTCTGGCCGGGCATGGTGCCTTACGCCTGTAATCCCTGCACTTTGGGAGGCTTGGGCGGGCAGTCCACCTAACACCAGGAGTTCAAGACCAACCTGGCCAACATGGTTGAAATTGCATCTCTACTAAAAACACAAAAATTAGCCAGGCATGGTGATGCACACATGTAGTTCCCAGCTACTCGGGAGGCTGAGGCAGGAAAATCGCTTGAACCCTAGAGGCAGAAGTTGCAGTGAACCGAGACTGCGTCACTGCATTCCAGCCTGGGTGACAGAGCAGGACTCCGTCTTAACAACAACAACAAAAAAGTGAGGTTCTGTCTGAAAAAAGAAAAAATTAGAGAGGAGTGGGGAGACAAAGACAGAAAGAGACAGATAAGAGAGACAGAGCAGAAAGACTTGGCCCAAAGGCCCCAAGAAGTGCTCAGAAATCAGTGTGTGCAGTTACATAGAATCAATAGCTTATAGTGGCTAAGAGTAGAAACTCTGGAATCAGATCTGTCCTCAAAATCTCTAAATTTCAGTGTCATCAACTACAAAATGAAAACACTATCCTAAAAGCATTGTAAACTAACCGAGGATTCAAGTGGATCATGGAAGTGAAGTGCTTAAACACAGTGCCTTAAACAGAGTAAACACTCAATAAATGGTAGCTATTGTTTGTGAATAATAATTTTAAAACGAGCAGGATCTCGCTAGAAGTAAGAATTCTACCTCCTGGGTTGCTGTCAGAATCTGTCTAGTAGAAATACACTGAAGTCTCTGCTAAAAGAAGGGGTTTGCCTTTTTCACTTTATTTGCCTAATGAACTAAGGAGAGAGAGATAAAGGGACTATCAAACAAAGCTGATGTCAAGTGATTCTGGAAAGCAATTTGGAATTTGCATGGACTTTTAAAACAGTAAGTGGAAGAAATAAATGTAAGTAAAGCAATAATAGGATTCGTGAGCCAGAAATACATGCATGCAACAGTCAGAGAACAAGCCCTCTAATAAAGAACAAAAATATTTCACAGCCAGAAAATGTGGGTGCTGGCCTCAGCTCCACCACTTACAGCTTAAAGACCTGAGCAAGCCCCTTGGCTCAGAGAGCTGAGCTTAGGAATTAAAACCTGCCCCCAACACGAGAAAGAATTCGCAAAGAATCCATTCTCAGAATCAGGAAAACTATGCTAATTGCAAACAACTAAATTTTCCATTTAAATGGTTGGGTCACAACAATCTTGTAATAAACCTATTTCTTTCTTTGCATGGGCTGTTAAGGAGCTTAGAGCAAAAACTCAGCCATCTCTAGTAACTGTACACAATCTTATGGCATGCATTTATATGCAATTATATGCCAGGAAGTGCTCTGTTAAGTCTAAATCATGAACACACCCCAGATCAGTGAA